ATTCTTGAATCCCTGAAGGAAGAAGAGCTGGGGACTCCCAATCCTGGGTCCTGAGGGAAAGGATGGGAGGGATTCTGGGTGTGAGGGGATGACTGGGCCCCTAAAAGAAAGGAGTAGAGAATCCTGGGGCCCTGAGGGAGGAAAGGGACAGGTTCCGAAATCCTGAGTTCCTGAAGGAGAGGGGACCTGGGCTGTATAGAGGAATGGGAGGCTGTGGGCTCCTGGTTTCTTTTTTTTTTTTTTTGAGGCGGAGTTTCAATCTCGTTGCCCAGGGCTGGTGTGCGTGGGACAATCTCAGTTCACTGCAACCTCTGCCTCCCGGGTTCAAGTGATTCTCCTCTGCCTTAGGCTCCCAAGTAGCAGAGATTACAGGTGCCTGCCACCACGTCAGGCTAATTTTTGTATTCTTAGTAGAGACAGGGTTTCACCATGTTGGCCAGGCTGATCTCGAATCAAACTCCTGACCTTTTTTTTTTAAGACTGAGTGAGCTCTGTCGCCCAGGTTGGAGTGCAGTGGTGCAACCTCAGCTCACTGCAACCTCCACCTCCCTGTTTCAAGTGATTCTCCTGCCTCAGCCTCCTGAGTAGCTGGGATTACAGGCACACATTACCACGCCCGGCTAATCTTTTGTATTTTTAGTAGAGATGGGGTTTCATCGTGTTAGCCAGGATAGTCTCGATCTCCTGACATCATGATCCGCCCACCTCGGCCTCCCAGACAGCTGGGATTACAGGTGTGAGCCACCGCGCCTGGCCCTTTTTTCTTTTTAATAGAGATGGAGTTTCACTATGTTGCCCAGGCTGGTCTTGAACTGGTGTCAGGCAGCCCTCCCACCTCAGCCTCCCAAAGTGCTGCGATTATAGGCGCCAGCCGTTGCCCCAGCCTCCACATTCTTGAAGAAACAGAAAACCAGTGGTCTTCCCTTCTCAAGAAAACAGGACTTGGCCAGGTGCAATGTAATTCCAGTATTTTGGGAGGCCAAGGTGAGAGGATCACTTAAGCTCGGGAGTTCGAGACCAGCCTGGGCAACACAGCAAGACTCCATCTCTACAAAGAAAAAAAAGAGGCCGGGTGCAATGGCCCACGCCTGTAATCCCACACTTTGGGAGGCCGAGGCGGATGGATCACAAGATCAGGAGATCAAGACCATCCTGGCCAATGTGGTGAAACCCCATCTCTACTAAAAATACAAAAATGGCTGGGTACGGTGGCTCACGCCTGTAATCCCAGCACTTTGGGAGGCCGAGGCAGGCGGATCACAAGGTCAAGAGATCGAGACCATCCTGGCCAACATGGTGAAACCCTGTCTTTACCAAAAATACAAAAATTAGCCTGGCATGGTGGCACACACCCATAGTCCCAGCTGCTCGGGAGGCTGAGGCAGGAGGACCCACTGCCTCACCCACTGGATCACTTGAACCCAGGAGGCGGAACTTGCAGTGAGCTGAGATCCGGCCACTGCACTCCAGCCTGGGTGACAGAGCGACACTCCGTCTCAAAAAAAAACCAAAAAAAAACCATTGGGCTGAAGAATTAGACTTGTTGGTCCTGGGAGAGGAAGGGCAGTGGAACATAAAATGTTAAATCTTTAAAGGAGGAGAGGGTCTTCATAGGACTGTGAGTGTGTATGGGAGGCTGCGAGCTCCTGGATCCCTGAAGGAGACCTATAGCCTCCTCCGCCTTCCAGAGCTAGGGGCATGGTTCTGAGCGGGGAGGGCCTGGGGCCTGGTCTCCTGGATCTGAGGGAGGAGGGAGGTGGGGCCTGGAGTCCTGGGTCTGAGGGAGGAGGGAGGTGGGGGTCTGGACTCCTGGGTCTGAGGGAGGAGGGGCTGGGGGCCTGGACTCCTGGGTCTGAGGGAGGAGGGTTGGGGGTCTGACCCCTGCGTCTACGCGGAGGAGGTGCTTGGGGTCTGGACTCCTGGGTCTGAGGAGGAGGTCCTGAGGCTGGACCCTCTCTGGGTTCCTGAGGGGAGGGGCTGGGGTCTGGACTCCCTTGGTCTTGAGAGGAGGGCCGCGGAGGCCCTGGACTCTTGTCCGAGGAGAGGGCTGGCCTGGAACTCCTGTCTGAGGGAGGAAGGGTCCGAGTCCGACCTCCGTCCTGAGGAGGAGGTCTGAGGTCGACTCGACTGGTCTCGCGGCGAGGCCGGAGCGTCGGGGGTATGGACTCTGATCTGAGGGGAGGAGGTCTGAGGCCTGGACTCCTGGGTCTCAGAAGGAGGGGCTGGGGGCCTGACCTCTGGCTGAGGGGAAGCGGGTGGGGTCTGGACATGACTTGAGGAGGAGGCGGCTGGGCGGCCGCGCTCCTGCTGAGGGAGGAGGACCTGAGGGCTGAACTGAGTTGAGGGGAGGGGGGGTGGCTGGGCCTGGCTCCTCGGTCCCTGAAGGAGAGCGACCAGGGGTCGGACCTCGAGTTTGAGGAGGACAGGGGCCTGGAGCCCCGGGCGCTCCTGGATCTGGGGTCATGGGCACTCCGGGACCTGACTTCGCAAGGTCTGACCCCCAGCCTCCTCCTCAGGGAGGCCTGGACCATGCGCTGAGCGCCTACTGCACGGCCTCACCCCGGCTACTACCTGAGCCCGACCATCCTCCTGTGCCCTGGCTTCGCCGAGGCCGGGCGGATCAGCCTGCCGGGGCGCTGAGCCGGGGGGCCAGAAAGGGCGGACTAGGGTGCACTGGTCCTGAAACGCGCCTATGACTACAGTGCATGGGCCTTCGTGCTGCGCCTCTCCCTGGCCGACACGCTTGCGCTAGCGGGCCTCCATCTACTCTGTACCACTTCCTGGCCCGGCAAGCCCTGGGGGCTGGGGGCTGGCTTTGGGTGGGTGGCAGCCCCAGCCCGCGGAAGCCGCATCCCAGCCCACCAGCCCTTGCCCCGGGAAGGCTCCGGAGGAGTAAGCTCGGAAGCTCCCTCTGCCACCGTCCCTCGGAATTCCTGCGAACCCAGGCCCCACTTCCTCCCCAAAGATCCTACCTTGGGAGAAGGGTCCTGAGAGAATTTCCTTTCCCCAGCTAAATACTCCTGCCTGGCAACTTGAAGGGCAGACCGCGGTGTCGTCCTCCGCTGCCCTCCGCCCAGGACCACCTCCACTCCTACAAAATCAAAGTTTGTCCAAAACAAGAAGTCGTGGGCCCTGCCCAACTCTGTAGCCCAGAGTAGCACTGGCACTCCCAAAACGGAAGGGGCCCCTGGGCAGTGGGTTTTGGACAAATTCCCTTTCTTTGCATCCACAATGTGGGGTCAGAGCTTGGGGGCAGGTCCTGGGAGTGGGAAGCCTCTTCCTTGTGTCTTTCGCTCCACTTTTAGCTCATGGCACCGATATTGCAGACTTGGAAGGACGCATAAGCTTCCCATTTCACAAAGGGGAAACTGAGGTGCCGATGCGCGGGCCTGGGGACGGCCGTCCCATGGCTTCCATCTGAGCCACCTCGGGGCCCCAACGCTCCTGGCACCCTCTTCTCATCCCTTGGCCTGTGACAGGTCACCACGTGTAAATCTTTCCCAATAAAGTGTTGCACAAAGGCATTGTGTCTGTGCAGGTGTCTGGGTGATAAACGGCGGGAAGCACTTAGGCCACGAAGTCCGGGGTGAGGTACAGCTGCCCAGCCCAGGAACCAAACTGTCAGGCCTGGGGCACCAGAGGGACTTCAGTTCCCAGGACACCTTTCGCATCAGCGGCCCTGAGAAACTACAGGAAGTGTACCTTACTCCCTCCGGGCCACCTACTGGCCAGGTACACACCTGCCCCGGGCCCCTCCCTTACCTGGGGCAGTGTTTGCCTGGCGGCCACTAGAAACAGCCCAGCCTGGGGCCATGGAAGAAAACCCAACCTTGGAATCAGAAGCCTGGGGCTCCTCCAGGGGGTGGCTGGCCCCCCGGGAGGCCAGAGGAGGTAGGGATGCCAGGAGAAGCTCAGATCCATCCGGCCTTCAGGCTAGGTGGGAGTCCTGCTGGAGGAAAGGGGAGGCCTGGCCTCCTGAGTCTGAGGGCTAAAGAGAAGGTTCCACTTCCTGATATTATGGGGGAGAAAGGAACTGAAGGCTGAAACTCTGGGGTCTGAGGAGGAGAAGCCTAGAGAACCAGGCTAGTCTGGAAGGAGGGGAGGGCTAAGGGCTGGGAGTTTGGGTGTCTTGGGAATAGGAGAGGCTGGGTTCCCACACTTCCTGAGCTTAGAAGGGGAAAAGAAAGTTGAGGACTGGACTCCCTCTGCCCTGGGAGTAGGAGGGTCCACGCCCTGGGGATGGAGTTTGAGACTTGGGGCCCCTGGGTCAGAAGTAGAAGGGACTGGGCAACCCGGGACTCCTTGGGGGCCCTGAGGAGGAGGTGGGACCTGGTTTTTTTCCTGTCTGGAGAGAGGAAAGCTTGGGGGCCTGGACTCCTGGTCTGAGGGAGGAAAGGCCTGGTTGGCCTGGCCTTTCCTGGTTTCTGAAGGAGGCCTTGGGGGGCCTTGACCTCCCTGGGGTTTTTTTCTTTGGAGGAGGAGGCTGGGGCCCTGGACTTCCTGGGTTTGAGGAGGAGGCTGGCAGCCTGACGTCCCTGGGTCCTTGGAGGGGAAGAGAGGGGACTGAGGGCCCTAGGTTTCCTGGTCTGAGGGAGGAGGAATTTGGGCCCAGACTCCCGGGTCTTCCCAGCCCCCTGCCCCTCCCCAGGCCCATCGCTGTCCTCTGTGCTGAACGAGCTGCCCAGTGCTGCCACCCTTCGGTACCGAGGCCCTGGGGTGCTGCCTTGGGGGGTGCCGGAGGAGGAGGAGGAGGCTGGAGGAAGGAGCAGAAAGGCCTTCACAGAAGTCACCCAGACGGAGCTGCAGGACCCTCACCCTTCCCGGGAACTGCCCTGGCCCATGCAGGCCAGACGGGCACACAGGTGAGGCCCCACCTCCGGCTGGGACCCGCACAGCCTGGACCGGGCCGTTCTCCCATACCTTGGACGCGGTCTCCTCCGTCTGTCCTCTGCCGCTCTTGGCTGCTGGGGCCTCTCTCTGCCTCGCTCAGAGCTGTCTCTCTTGGGTTCTTTTTTCCCCTGTCTTTGTCTCTCCTTCGGACTCCAGGTGAGTGCTGCCTTTCCGTGGCTCCGGGATCTCTTCTCTGTCTCTGGGATTCGCCGTCTCCCTGGTCTTCTCCAATCCTGTCTCTGCCTCTCAGTTTTTCTCTGTGTGTGTCCAAAATCTGTTAATATTTATTTCTCTCTGCTTTACGTCTTCCTTCATCTTTGCCTCCCTTCAAAGCCTCCCTCTCTTTAACTTCTTTCTTTTCCCATTCTCACGGTATAATTCGCAGGGCCTGGTGAACAATGAAAATGCAGGTGCCCTCCTTCAAAAATGATTGTGGGCCCGGCGCGGTGGCTCACACCTGTAATCCCAGCACTTTAGGAGGCCGAGGCGAGTGAATCACCTGAGGTCAGGAGTTCGAGACCAGCCTGGCCAACATGGCGAAACCCCAACTCTACTAAAAATACAAAAATTAGCTGGGTGTGGTGGCATGTGCCTGTAATCCCAGCCACTCGGGAGGCTGAGGCAGGAGAATTGCTTGAACCACGGAGATACAGGTTGCAGTGAGCCAAATCGTGCCATTGCACTCCAGCCTGGGTGATAGAGCGGGACTCCATCTCAAATATAAATATATATATAGTATATATATGGAAAAAACAATAAAAACAACAATATATCACCACTCCCCTGCTGATCAGTGGCGGGATCGTGCCTGTGAATATAGCCACTATACTCCAGCCTGAGCAACATATCGAGACCCCATCTGTATCTTTTAAAAGTAATAATCAGGCCGGGTGCGGTGGCTCAAGCCTGTAATCCCAGCACTTTGGGAGGCCGAGACGGGCAGATCACAAGGTCAGGAGTCGGGACCATCCTGGCTAACACGGTGAAACCCCGTCTCTACTAAAAAATACAAAAAAGTTAGCCGGGCGTGGTGGCGGGCGCCTGTAGTCCCGGCTACTCGGGAGGCTGAGGCAGGAGAATGGTGTGAACCTGGGAGGCGGAACTTGCAGTGAGCCGAGATCGCGCTACTGCACTCCAGCCTGGGTGACGGAGCAAGACTCAGTCTCAAAAAATCTTATGGGCTTTTGACCCCATCTTTGTAGATTTAGTTTCTCCTTTCTCACTGTCTTTGTCTCCCTTTCTCCGAATCTCCCTCGGGGGCTCTGTCCTTCACAATCTTTGTCTTT